GTGAGATCATGATGACCTGAGCCAAAGTCGATCGCTTCATCGACGGAGCCACCCAGGTGCCCCCCGTTTCTACCTTTTTAATGTGGCTCCTAGAAAGTTTAAAACTACATGTGTGGGTTGGGGCGCCTGGGTGGCTCCGTCGGTTGAGCGTCTGACTTGGGCTCCGGTCATGATCTCGTGGCTCATGAGTTTGAGCATGAGTTTGAGTTGCTGACAGCTCGGAGCCCGGAGCCTGCTTCGGATTCTGTGTCTCCCTCTCTCTCCGCCCCTCCCCTGCTCGTGCTCTGTTTCTCTCTCTCTCTCTTAAAAATGAATAAACATTAGAAAATAATTTGAAACTACATATGCGGGTCAAATTGTATTTCTGTCGGCCAGCACTATCCGATGGTAAATGATCAATAAACATTTTTAGTAGAGAGCGGTGGCTCTGAACCCCGGGGGTGGTTTTGCCTTCCAGGAGACCTTTGATAGTGTCTAGAGACCTTTTTGGTTGTCACTGCTTGGGAAGGAGGGTGTTACTGGCGTTCTGTAACTAGAGACCAGGGACTCTGCTGACCATCCTGAAGCACCGGACAGCCTACCCCGCCCCCTGTGAGACACAAAGAATTATCCACCCCCAAGTGCCGGCCGTGGTGCGGTATAGAGGTATAGAGGAAGCGCTTGATAAACATGAGCTGTTGGGTAGCCCTAGCTCACGTGTTTTCATCTTGAAGGCCCTGACAAGTCCTGCAGGAAAGAAACTTGTTTAATTTTGCCAGTGGGAGCAGGAAATGAGCAGGGGCTGGGGAGACGGGGAACAGGGTGTGGGTTGGGTAGATAGAGAAGGAGCAGGTTTGGAGCAAGGTACCGAGCATCATGGGAGATGCCCAGAGGGCAGTGGGACACACGGCCTGGGCTGCGGCAGGTGGCAGTGCTCAGATGGCCACGGAAGCTATCACTGGGCGGGCGGGCTGGCAGGCAGGGGTGGGGGTGCACGTGTCCACTTACAGGGCTGTTCCGACCGAGCTGTCAGGAACCTGGCGTTGAAGGGGCACGAGGGGAAGAGGCCTGGCTTGAGTGGCGGGACAGAGAAAAAGATGGAAAGCGGGGAGATGCCGGGGGAGGAAGGTTTCCGGAACAAGGAGGTGCTGGGCAGAGCGCCCAGGCGAGATACAGCCCACAACCGTGCGTTGGAGGGCCGCTGCTGGCCTTGGGGAGGCTGGGAGCTGGGAGGGCAGGTTGGAAGGAGAAGTCTGTCCGGAGAGTGCACACAGCTATCCACAGGGGTGGAGCATTACGTGGGAAGGTCAAGTGTGACTTCAGGGGGCGGGGTGGAGTGAAGGCAAGGAAGCCTGGGTCCTTACAGGCGAGGGCAGGGGGTCTCCGGGGAGCCTGGCTGTGAAGACAGGCGCGTGAGAAAGGCCTGGTGTGTTGCGTGCCGATGCTTTTAAGCGGTAGAAATCTGCCCCCTCCCGTTATTTCAGACACATAGAACCCCAGTAGACAAAACAGCTGTTCTGGTTGGAGTAAGAGTTAGGGCCTCCCTGAAAGACCCCCACGAGGGCAGGTCCCCTAGGCTGGCCTCAGTCACCTCCTCCTGGACCCTCCCAGAGAATCGTCCTGGTGACTTACTCTGGTCTTTCTGTTCCCCACCCATGGATCCTGCTTGGGGTTCCGTGCCCCCCCCCCCACCCCCCC